ATGGGGACCCTAAACCACCTTCAGGAAAAGGTGGTTTTGTAGCAGTGGTTTAATTGATTTAGTTCACTGTACTCCCAATGGCTTTGCAACCTCTATCAAAACAAAGAGATGCCATGGAGTATTCGTTGTAGAGCCATTAATAAGTACATGATAGTACTCTATGGTCTTAGAGGGATCATGGAAAAACCCTTCGGGTCTATGCTGACTGCTGAGGAACCATGGATTATTTTCTATAGTACTCTATACTCGAAGGCTTCAATTCCTTCTTAAAAACACTGTGGAACCAAGGACCATCCAATGTATTACCATGGACTAGTGAATTATCGTCCTCTAAGTTTTGGGGGTCCATGAAGGTCCATGAAACCTCATTTAAAATGCTGGCGTATCATCCACTGATTACTAAAGAGTAGCTTGTACTCTCACTATCAGGACTATGGCACGTCATTTGCAACTAACTGTGGTTGATCCTCTTTAGTACGTATAAAGTAATACTTCGTAAAGCCGAAGAACAATGGACGATCTACCATTGTAGTTCTCAACACCACGTTAAACCTTCTAGCACAAATGTCTTAGAGGTGCTGGGAGTCGTTGCACTATTGGATGTAATTAATTCAACACTCTCTGTAGAAAATTACGGAAACTGTTCTGTATTCCCGCTGGATGCTGATGGACCGTTGAACCTCCTCCACGACTATTGTCTAGCATGCGACCTGCCTCAAGTCGATTTACGTCTCATTGAAGCGTATCTCGAGATCTCACCAGCGACAATTACAATTGTTTACCACGACCCCGCGATGCGGAAGGGATTGGCGTGATCTTCTTGGTGTGTGGCCGGGTTTTTTTTTTGCAGCAAAGAGCTGTCTTGCTACAGGTGATTATAATGATTATATACCTAAATAATGAATATTGTAAACATAAGGATCTATATCAATGACAAGTTTTGCCTATACAATAAGTGGAATCATGAAACTTTTGGCCATTTTAAATTCCATTAAAGATACCCGAAACTTTATTTTTGTCTGACCATCTTTTTGTGAGTTTGTCGGGGACGCCCAAGATGGCAATTCACACCGCCTTCTCCGGGAAAACTAGAGAATATCAATGTAAAACTCCCTTTCATGTATTTAGAATTCACACTACTAAATTTTATAGAATATCCGTCGCTATTTAAACCTGATCTAACCTTGTTGTAAATAAAATAATAAACGTTCAAAAACTCAACAATGATCTAATTTTTTGGGGGTTTTACACGTTTAATTACTCAAAAACCAAAGATATATTAAGAGAGAGACAGGTTCCTTCTGCAAACTGTCAATGATCCTTTGCATTTAGTCTTGTTTTACTATAATACTACATTTAACTGCTTTTACTACCATAAGGATTTTAACAATCAAGAAACTTTTTATGAGCTTTATGCTCTTTTTATGGGTGTACCCCGTGGTAAATAAAGTCTAATAGACATAATAGAATATAATTAGCATATAAAGTCAAAGGAAAGTTATATTTACAAAGAAATCTCGAAAACACATAACACAAACAATGCAATTTCATAACTGCTTACGTAAAAGTGAAATTAGAAGCTTAAAGTAATTTAGCCAGCAATATCTCAACTGTCTCGTGACGTTATGTGGAGGAAGTGAAATTTATGATTTACTCACGAACTTGGCGACGAAACCACGCGGTTTGCAAGTTCAAGAGAAACTTAAACTGGACCAAAATGTGTTAACACTTTTCTTTTTCTGAAAGCTGCGAGTGGAGGAAGTGTCAGTGAATGATATTGATGATCCCAACAAAGCGTTTGTTGATTTCAAAAGCACTTGCAACGACGTCTCAGTTCAGTTAGTTTCGGTTGACTCTATATTTATTCTGAAGCAAAACAAACGAATCCCTCATCAATCATTTAGGTTTTCCTAAGTGACTACACGCAATCACTTTAAGTCACTATATGACGAGAATGGCACTATGATCACTATGACCTTGACTTTTGGTTCAGGGTGAGCATGCAGTCGAGCAAATGCTTAATATTGTCGACTGCTCGAACAGGGGTAGACGCAGCTAGGCGTATTCAAACCACACCAGTGAATGATGAATGTGAGAGATCGGATTTTTTACAGTGCAGCTTTGTTTATATGGCTTGAATAGTTTGCTGAATCTTAATGCGAACCCCATCAAGGTCAGTTGGGTACGGTTTGTACCAACATTAAGTGCGCCAGTCAGATGTTATCGTCCTGATACGATGAATAAGATTTCGCGATTTGATGTATTTATTTTCACCGCTCCACCCATATTGAAGTTCCTTTGGTCGTACCGCGATCAAGACCTCTAATTTTCGTGTTACTGCTTCAACCACAGATTAAAGAGTAGACCTACTCTTTAATCTTTGGTTCGACTTTCAAGCCACACCTTCACCGTCCAAATGGGAAATGTAGCTTGTCCTTTACTCTGTCCAAGTTCGAACTAATATTTTAGTTTTAATAAATGTGGTTTACTAGGATTTCCCCAAATATCTTCTGAATTTGTCAAGAGTTAGTTAGTGCCCTTTACATCCATAAACCCTAATGTATACCATACATCCATTCTCTATAAGTATATCGTAAATACATTCATTAAAGCACCAAGAAATTTTAAAATCCATAAACTTTTCACACCTAAAACTTGTATCAGTTGAACTGATCGATTACAATCCCGTCCGTCTCACGTCGAATAAACGGACGATATTCTCCTCTGGTACCTAATTCTTACTACGGAAGCTCTCAAATCTTACCCAGTCCTTTTGAGAACGGTAGGTCCGCAACTGAGAGAAGATGATTCAGGATGATTGGCTTAAACAAGTTAGCTAGATTCTCTAGGTCAGTTTTTTCTTGGAGGCACTATCGCAAACCGGCTTGCAATCCTCACCTGAAAATCCGTGACTTTAGTCCGATCTTGATACAGTAAAAGTTTTTTTTTACACAGACAGACTATTTTCTTCACTCTACTATTTGCGTCACAGTCTAGAACCTCGACACCCTCCACCCTCGACCATGTGTCGCACCGGAAGTGTGGTGGTGACATTACACAACCGCCGCGGTCACAATGGTGACCGTCACTTGCGTCACCGAGCCAGAGTTACCGCATTGGCCAGTGGTCGGGTCCAGATCAGTAAAAGTTACGAAGGCGCCACACTCGCCACTGGTATCTGTATCACGTATCAATCATCAACTCTCGACTCTCACCCGCGCGACGCGTAACTGTGCATACGATACTGCGACGCCGACCAACAGGAACACGGGCTACTGGTCTATAGGAAGGTGGGCCCAATGGTCTACATGTACGTGGACTACTGGTATAGAAAAGTGGGACCACTGATCTGAAGAAACGTAGGACCTCTGGTTTATTGGAACCTGAGAACAATGGTCTAAGATAGTCAATCGACTAGGATAGTGGGGATTTTGGTATTTAGAAAGTAGGGCCCCTGGAATATGGTAAAAACGAGAGGCCATTGGCCTATAGAACAGTAGGGGTCTGGTGTAAAGGAACGTGGATTGTGATCTAAGAAAGTCAGTGTTCTAGTAGAGTCTAATCTATAGGAACGTAGGATTCCTATGTGACAAGGATATATAGGAAAAGGGAACATAGGGGAATGGGAATAGGAATGATATAAACGGGGGGACACTGTTCTTTAGGCCAGTAAGGTCTCTTGTCTAAAGTGAGCCAATTTTCTATAGGGTTTGGCAAGTAACAAGTGTAAACAAAGTACATAGAACAAAAAATACATTTATCGATACATTGGTTGCAGTGTTGCAAGTAACACACTTAAGCCTGAATTGAGGACCATTTTATACGTGTCCTATTATTTAGTACCGGTAAATCACTATTATTTAGTAACCGCGTATTCATTGTCTAAACCCATTGAAAATCAGCTAACCGTCTAATACTAAACGTGGACACATTGACTAGGAAAATCACATTATTCTAAAAGCGATGGACGTAACACGTCCAGGTGGATTGTGTGAGGCACGTGCTCGTTTTCACGCTTGTCTCGCACCGTGACCGAGCTGTTACCGGAAGGAGGAAGCTACACGAATCGCGTGGAATCTCAATAGTCCGTGTGTTGTGTTCACGCCCCCTGGACCTGGACCAACAGATTCCTACAGACTCTCGGACCTGTTGACGCTTCTTGCTGTCCATTCCTGACGAGACGCTGAGCGATGTAATTAGGAGGTTGCACTAAGATAAATCAGTGGCTTATTTTGTATGTTTTTCTACACCATTGGCATTTATTAAGTGTTTTGTAAGGGAACGGTTCATATCCTGGTCTTGTGACTAAAGTCCACATTTTATTTGATAGAATTCATTAACTGATAATGACAAGAGGATTCGCTTGGGATCGTACCAGTAGCATTCCGATTTTAATGCAAACACTATTACTGATCGTCTGTCCAGACTATGGTTCAAAACTGGACCAACATCCTTATAATTTACGAAACCCGACACGGACAGCTTTCAATAAACAACCCCAGGTAATAATCAGTAGCAAAGATACTCAGATCATCCAATCAGTTCTACCAACTGCAACTGCACTCAGCTTATTAAAATTACTTACACAATTGGTACGTAACTTTCTTTACACTAAGGAATTCTAAGAAAAGAAAGTGAATAAAGTACATATTGAGACCTAAAACCCTTTTAGAAGAAAATGAAACTCAAGCGGTTTTGTGAGCGTCAACATTTTAACATCGAGAAATTCAATTGTAAGTCCTTACTTAAAATAAGACCATATTTCGTAAAAACTGAATACTCGATACTCTTGGTTATGAAAACTCCGAATACTACTAATCCAATTGGATGCCAAATTAAACCTCCCAACTTAAAACTTGTAACCTCTCCAAAGGCCTAAATATGGATAAATTTTTTTGAACACCAAAGTGGATAAATGTGGTATACGTCATCCATAGGGCCAAAAGACTTAGGAAGGATCATGGACGACACAGTTGATTGAGATTCAAAAGCATACTCACGTGAGGTAGAGGATCATAAGTCACGTGACCAGACCTGTTGGTCTCCGCCGCCCAGAACCTGAGAGGCTGTCTGAAGAGGCCCTCGGTCCTCCGCAGCGACAGGTCCAGGTCCTGGCCGAAGGCTCGCAGCTGCAGGTTGTGTGTGTCGGCCTGAGGCCTTGCAGAGGCGGACCTCCTCACTCGTACCACTTCATAGTCAGGCACTGTAACATGAAACAACACAAGCGTTAGGTTTACTGGAATCCTGCGAAAAATTTTGTAACACGTGCTATTCTGCTCAAGTATACTACTCAAGTGTACGAAGAATCTTGGTTAGGAAGGGAGAAAATGGAATTCAGTTCAGAAGTTTTCTGACTGAATTATTCATTCATCATGCGTGATGGCTTAAATCAACTACGAAATCATATGTTAAGCCATGAAACACCACAGGAAAAGCCCTAGTCAAAAGTGAAATACGCTAATGGAAATCTTATACAATTGCATTCAACTTCTTAAATTGAGCAACGTCTTGTCTGCTACTAAGTTATTTGTGGAATTGCTTCAAGGTTTGCTGGGAGGTTTTTGTCAATCCAGCCGTCGGAACACAGTTTAATGACTTTGATAGGAACATCAAAGTTGGTAATTTTCTGGTGGCATACTGATTTATTTTTCTTTATAATAATGGTTAAAGTTCTTTATAACTCCGTCAGTTAAAGGCATTTAAACTACTATTATATGTATTACAAGTGAGTCACGGGCTAACAACATGATTTCTTAAACCTACAATTCGGCAATTATTAAAATCTCTCTCAATATTTAATTTGTGTCTGTAGAATTAAATATAATACCGGTTTACACACGTTAAGTGTGAAGGATCATCAAGTAGCTAGGACGCGGGTGGCAAAACTACCTATGTTTACTAAAATTACGTGTGTTACGGTAAAGGAGCGTTGGTTTGATGACGATCTTTTATAGCCTCTACTGTGAGTATGTTAACCTTCAATAATAACATTGTGGCCATGAGGAAATGTGGCATCACTTTCTACAGCGACGAGAGATGCCTCGGTGATCTCGGAAGATGCGCGGCCAGGCGCACAAGTTCCTGGTTTCTACAACTGGATTACCGTACATTGAGATTTACTTCAGTACACACTATTCCCACTTGAGTGCTTCAATACATTCTCCTAAATGTAACAATAGTTATAGAATGAGAAAAACAACTTTGACACCCGGCATGTGACCTTGTGGAAGTTGCAGTACTGAGTAATAACGGAAATAGCAATTACATGGACTAGACTTGACTAGTCGGCCTACATCCGTAGGAAACTGACCAGTTGACCAGTTGGTTACGTGCAACTGGCAACTGACAAGTGGAGCAATAACAGTTCAGTTGCGATCAGAGTACGTGATGTGAGCGGGTCCGAAGCTTGCATTCAATACGGACAAAACAGTCACGGTTACACAACCTCCTGCAGTCCGAAAATAATGTGAACCTACTCCTTGAAATCTCTATGTTAGATTATAGGAGTGTAATAAAATGCGTATACCAACATGCTTCTGTATATTTGCGGAAAGAAAGTTCCTTGCCCCTAAACATTACCTACTAATAGTTATTAGGTAAAGATAACAGGAGGAGTATCTTCAACTTCCAAAATTTAGTGTAGTTAAAACAATTAGTACTAGGGAAAGACAAACTATTTTACATTAATGACAACGATTTTGACCAAACACGGTCATTAAAACCCAATTGGAGACTGAAAGCACAGACTATAGTGCTGAGAGAATCTCAATTGTACAAATAGTATCGAGGCAGGAAGAAATTTAAATTCAAACTACTGAAATACTTTCACCATTCAAATATTCTAAAAATTGACACAATAGGTCTCTTTATTTACAATCAAAGGTACAATAAAATGATTTGATGATTAACAAGACTACATTTTGACAACGATCTGATATATTTATTAATTGGAAATAAGTTTATTCAGAGAAGCTCTAAGTGGGAAAATGAGCTGGTAATGCCCTAGACTCCATCTAATACTTTTTACTCTATGGATTAAAACAACTACTTTTCTCCAGCAAGTATTGAAAACAGCTGTTTTTGCCGCAAGCAAAAACTAATAACCACAACAATATACCTCGTTAAATCTACGTATAATTTGAAAGTCACGCCATTATCACCAGCGAGTTCGGTGAACTATAAAAAATTACTAAATCATCTCTATGGTGTCAATTACATCAACTATTTTTCCTGTAATGTTTTTTGCAACGCAATACCTTTGACAGCTTCAGCAGGCAAGTCACCTGTAGTGTCATCTGATGAACTAAACAGCTGACCGCTCAGCTGACGTCACTAGCGCTGAGCACAGCTGTTTTTTAGCAGACTCTAATGTGATGTAATGGATTACTATCACTTGTTGTGCTGACTCTCACTTCAGTTTTTACTCTGATGAGAGTTCACTGTAGGACATGTTTACAGTTGGGATTGTAAATGTTTCTGTGAGAATACATTTGCGAATGCAGTGGTTATATTTCCTCGTTTAATCTCTTGCTCAATGTGATGTGGGCAGACCAATATATTATTGTTTAAAAAGTAAGACACAGAAATTCACGATAAGTACCAATAATCAGCTGATTACTAGAAGTTTACATAATAAAACGTTAACATTGTTGTTAATTTGTAAAATGTGTCAATATTAAGTTAAATATCACCTTTGACTATTAATACAACAACTTCTGTATCCTAGTCTATGATATCACCTAATTACTTCAACTAAGGTACCTAAAGAATTGAATTTAAAATGTATGTAACATAATCTAATTTTGCTTTCAATAAAGTAAATACCAAATAGTACTAACCGTCTGCGTGGTTATCTACATGGAAAACGCTTCTAAGATCATCTTGTTTCATATGGTGGTGTATCTGTAACAGATAAAATACATAGTTAGAGCTACATTATGTAAATAAATAAACTAGTGTTAACATACACTGTCAAAACAAGATAGAAATGAGTGGCTTTTCAGTTTAAGATAGAACTGTTGACATTGACTTAAAAAAAGCGTAGACATCCCTTCTATACGGACCAGCTAAAGTCAATTTGCTATTAAATTGTATCATAGCTGAACGAGCCAGTAACCTATTTAGGTAATGTATAAATTACCAAAATCTATTTTCTCTATCCTCTTTGAATAGCCTGAACTTATTTTATGCTTTGTTTTGAACAGAGGGTTTATAAATTAATAGGTTTTAGTACTTTGATACAATAGGTGATATGAGGCTGGTCGTCGATGAAGATGCAATACGAGCAATACAGGAATAAGTTTACTGAAACTTAAGAGAACCCAGTATTTTATTTGTTTGGTTTCATTCTATTAATGTGTGTACAGCCACAAGAATTTTGAAAGAAACTATCCAACTGCAGATCCCGTTACTATATCTAACTTTGCATTTCTTACACACTGTTGATAGCATAACGGAAAATCATAACATTAATTGTTAATGGGGTTCCCTATTCAAACCTCCACAAACATTCTTTACCTCCTTGGTACGAATCAGCATTAGGCCTTAATATACAAATCTAAAAACATTCAACTCGGAAATCGAACACGACAATCTTATTTGTTTTTCGATTTTGTATTCTCCTTTTTTGAATGGTCCCAAGACGTCTCAATCGCACGACAGCCTTTGAAGGACTCTGTTTGATGAGGGATGCATGGAGAGGAATATTGGGATTTCTGAAATAGTGTTTGGCCAGAGGACGAACATTTTCGGACCTTCCAGACAGTGAACAAAATCACCTCCAGACATATGTTATGTCTGATACTGTGTGCGGCCTAATCACAACCAACTAGCGAAACAAGTTAGCCGATTTCCAATTTCGTTAACACGCTACAACTTGCTTAGCGACTTTAAGTCCTAATTTCCATACTGTATTTAATTTGTCCTACAACTTACATAATCTATTAAATCAGTGGTCCTGCACCAGGTTTACCGGATACCCGATTGATTATCACCATGCGGGACGACATAGCTGACCCACATACTGACCACCCCAGTAACGGCGGTGGACATTTGGCCCGGGCTTGCGGAAGATATCGTCCAGATTACCGCCATAAATCTCAGTTGCATAAGGTCCAATTTGGTAGAAAGCTCGCTTCCTTGACAGCATACAAATAGGAAGCGGCATTGCCGATTTACCAATTATAGATCTGTTGGTATTTATGTGTGACTGATTAAGATTGGCGATTATCGGATCGAAGATTGTGTTAAACCGGTTTTAAGATTCGTGCGATCAGTTTGTCCCACAGGGTAGTATTTGTATCATGGTAGACCAGATTGATTCGTTTGTGCAAAAGGTTTGCGGAAGTAGAGAGTATTACGTCATTACAAGAGAAACCTTGAGTGTTTATGCATTTCTTCATTAGAATACAAGGGGTCAAATGTTATAAGGAAGTGAGGATATTTATGGTCAACAATTAAAAATAAAATTCTTGATCCTGCTCAATTAACAATATACGTTTGCATGTTGCTCTATATTTAAATATATTGTCACAAAAAACTGTGACACATGTGGATATGTTAATTTAGAGTAAACAACACGCTATTAAGGTTTGATAAATGGAAAAGCGAGTTATACATTCTTGCAAAACCGGTTACGCGTTGTATCTCCGGGGAATTGTAATGTTTCCTGGCTCAGAGGAACTGGCAAGAATTTCCTTTCCTCCACCGTAATTAATTGTCAATCGAATGAAACAACCAATCGTGTTATTGCGGAATGTGGGATTCGTGACAGAAATAGCAATAAAACGCACTGGATAGTTGAGCAAATTGAGCCTATCTATATATCTATCTATCTATCTATAATATTATAAAAAAGAGGTGGTTGCTGTATGTGTGTATGTGTGTATGGGAAAAGTAAACTCGAAAAATACTGGTCGGATTGGGCTGAAATTTGGCATGATGATAGCTCACATTCCCGATTAACATATAGGCATATTCTTATTTCAAAAATCCTTTCGGGCTCCGCCCCAGTGGCTCTGGAGTTTCCCATGTTAACCTTATGAGAAATGGAATTATTGAATCTTAACAGCTGTTTCAATTAAACAAGTTGGTTCTGTTCTATGATGTTCAATAGCATTAAAGTTACAAGGATTACCAACAGGGTGCAGCACTATTATTTCTTTTACATTTATGACAACAGCTAATTTGCAACCAAAAGGTGAGTGAGCGTAGCGAACGAACTTCAACCTGGAGGCGAGTTAGCGTAGCGAACGAGCTAACCTGAAGGCAAGTGAGCGCAGCGAACGAGCTCCAACCTAAAGGTGAGTGAGCGTAGCGAACGAGCTCCAACCTAAAGGTGAGTGAGCGTAGCGAACAAACTTCAACCAGGACGTGATTGAGCCATGCGAACGAGATAATCTTGAAAATTAAGAAGTTAAACGGGGCAAAGCCCGCGGGTTACAGCTAGTAAGTAATAAAAATATGAGAACAAACAATCATTCATAATATCCCTATAATTCATTTTTTGTTACAGCCGTCGTGAATATGTTTTATTGTTTAAAGAATCCCTTAATTTACTCCGTAAGGAAATTACTTAGATATTATTTATATTACACCGAACTATACTAATCGTTGGATAGTGTAAATGATTAACTTGCATTATTGTCCACAAAGCTATAAATTCTGGAGAGCCACCTCTGTGACAAACTCTCCCTAAAGCCCCCCACACACTACCAGACCAGACCTCCAGACCAGACCGTCTGGTCTGGCGTCTGGCACTTGTCTTATCGTGTGTGGGGCTGTCTGCAGACCGATTTTCTCGGACCAGACTGTCTGCGTGTCTGATGGTTGAACCCTCAGACCAAAGACGGTCTGAGGTTCCCCCACCACTATTTTTGTCTGGTCTGTGAGTGTGTAGCGCTGTCTGTCAGACGGCCGACCATCGTGCCAATCTTCATCCATTTGTTGGAGTTCTCATCACGGTCTCTCAATTACGAATTAGGACCGTCTGGTCTGGGAGTGTGTAGAGCCGTCCAAGACGGTCTGGTTGCAGCCAGACGGTCTGGTCTGGAGGTCTGGTCTGGTAGTGTGTGGGGGGCTTTAGGCAGCAGCATGTCTCTGGAGTACTGAGCAAGACTGACCTCTTTTCCTGCGGGTTCATCTCGAGATTGAGAGAAGAGTATTCTTTCGCATTTAGGCCTGGCATTTTATATCACAAGATTCTACATGATGATTCTCTTATTTCATTAGTTCTGAAATGCCGCTGCAAATTAAGAAAATTAATCTTGAACGATCTTGAGCCATGATAAAGTCGTCATAGGCGAATCACCAACGAAAGTGTTGCCACTAATCACTAATTGGGCAATGATTTGAAGATGTGTGATTCAATCTTGTGAATGAGCAGGCACTTTGTGATCACCACTTGCGGTCAGCTTTGGTCAACGCACTGCGAAGGTCAAATCCAAGTGATCATGACTTTCAGCCAGCGCTTCGTGTGGCCGCACAGGTAATCATACTAGTCACTCTCTAGAGTAACCTTTGACCATTTTTGTTCGTTATTTGTGAGTGTCTGCACCAGTAGTATTTTGTATGAAATTTGAAATTTTTGGGAAAATAATAAAATCTTCTGTTTAGAGGACCAAACCAATAATTCATCATACACTGAGTCTGAAAATGTATTTTAAATGGCGAACTGACCATTAGAAACAAGGAATGATTTCAAAAGGGGAATTCGAAATTTCTTCATCTTATCTGAGTGATTCCTAGTGAAATGATAAATTTATGTTTGCCATTTGTTGCCATTACCTAAGGCAATATTTCTTATAGCCAATGTTATTACCCACCATCCAGATCAGCCCATTTATCCTATTCACTAGGAAGGCAAGGGTGCGGAAGAAAGCGGGCGTGGCGAGGCAAACCACTAGCCAAGGCTCCAGCCCGCGATATTGTATACACGATTCTTGGTTTTAGCTGTATACTCGTACATGCTAAACCAATAAATCTCTAGTCTAATATTCCTTGATAGGTGGTTGAGTTACGTCAATCTTCCTTGTAGGGAAAGCTTGCGGTAGTGAGGTTTGCGGCAGGGGCTTATATGGGACCTGTATTGGGAGTGGCGAATATGGAGCAGGGTAAACTGAACTGAACGGATTTCTTAGATTTTGCAAGCAAATGTTTCGATGTTACAATCATGGAATGTAAGTCAGCTAAAAATCAACATAAATATAAAGCCTGTATAATTGACACAAAAGAGCGATTAAAGATATAAAAAAGGTGTTGAAATATGTGTTTTGATTAGAGTGTTCTAATTTTATTTGAGGAAGGGCTTTTAAAATAGTTCAATTTCAAAATGCAGTATAGTTTTGGCTCACTGAGAGCACAACTTTAGTGTTGTACCAAAAGGCCATTATTAATAACATAACTGTTATTTTTTACCAAAGAAATTGGAATAAAACGAAATTTGTTAAAGAAAAAGTACATAGGTACTTGTAAAATATTATATCTAATCAATATTGAACAATTTCTCGTTATAACTTCTAGAGAGTAAATATATGAATAAAACAGAATACATAAATCCCTGTTGGAGTTAAAATAACTTATTAACTAAACGAAAACGAACGCAAGACACGTGAATTAGTAAACACGAGGAGTTATTAACACGAGTTGCACTTGTGTTGACAAAGCTCAGCGGAGGAGTGTAGTCTGGGTCAGCTGACTGAGTAAGTAGGTCAGCTGTGAACGTAAGCTACAACCTACAACTAGCAACAGCTGTTGATCAACAATTGACACCTGTTGGACAAGATGTTAGTAGCCACTCCTCGGTAGCTGCGAGGTAAGCTTTAACACGATTGAATTTTGTGCCAAGGCGAGAATGGCGTTCATGCAAGTCTCGTTTCGTATTGTGTTTTGAATTGGTTTGATTA